GTGTAATTTTTTCTCGTGATAGTAGGTCGCAATTGACTCGATAAGTGGATGTCAGGATGTTTCCTATCTTCGGGTATAGCCGTGTGCCTGAGACGGCCACGGATTCTAAGAGTTCCGTCGACGAGAATCGTCACAATTCGTAAGTCTGAATACGTTCGATCATGGCGGTTGTTGTGACTAAAGGAACATAGAAGAGCAACGATACGCACGAGAGCCGGAAACGACGATCGAATGAAAAGGATTTCATTTGGTGAATGCACCTGCACCGTTAGTGAAACGGATCTCTCTTCGAGTAGTTCAGCCGGTAAGTCCATGGATGTTTGTTGCGTTAGATGGCCAAAACCGTGATGGTTGCCTCATCAGCTGTGTCGGATACATTCCACGGGAGATGATATCCGTCGAATTTTCGATACCAGGTACATGTGCCCAAAGGCCATTGACCGTGAGATGTTGCACTTCCGAAACTTGGCAATGAAAGTCTTCCACCGCGATAGAGTTGAACGGAGTCAGTGTAGCGTTATTATCGAGTCAGTCCAAAAGATGGTCTTTACCTATGCTGTACTGTTTTGAAAATTCTGGTAGAGATGGCCCAACAGAAGTGCTGAAGAGAGTTCCAACCTTGTCAGAAAAACACGCAGAAAAAATATTTTAAACGTAATAATATCTGACGTAAAATCAATAAGAATTTCATTTTGTTTTGGCTGCAAAATGATATCATTATTGTTTCAACAATCCAGTATTTTTGTTCCTGAAAACTCATGGATTGTTGAATCAAAAAGAAAATGTTTTCGTATTTACATGGTTTTGACGTAAACTGTCAAATTTTGTAGCTGGTTCAACAAAAAATGTTTGTTTTTAAAAGACATTGCTTGTTGATTCAATTATATTTATTTTATGAAGTCTGACAACTGTGAAGCAACTGTAAACTCTAGAGGGAATTTATATCTGTAACTGAAGCCAGTTTGAATTTAGTTTGCCAACCTGGTTAAAATGTCATTATTTTCATTTAATTATCTTAAAGATAAATCGTCCAGCTCAAATCTTTGTAGGGGTAAGAGGTGGGACCATCATCATCATCAATACACGCAGTAGAAATAGAAATACGTTTATTGATTCAATAGTAATTTGGCGATTATTTTTGTGTTTTGTTTTTTTTTTTTGTAATATACAGAATTGCAATTTTATTTAGAAAACCTTTCTGAATCATAAAATCTCTGATTACAAAAAACAAATCAAAGAAAAAAAGACAAACTGTTTATATTTAGCAACTGCAGCATGCTGACTTACCTCAAGTCTCAATAATTTTGGAAATTTTGCACTTATTTCCCGAAATTCACAGTTCAAAATAATATTAACGTGGCACCCGGAAAAGAGCTGAACTCAAAAGAGAACAGTTTTGTGTTATTGTTTACACTTTATCCGGGTGAAAACGAAAGAATGGTTGGTAGATATTTTTGCATTCATGGGAAATGGACACAACAAATAAATTTTCAATTAAAACTTACTATTGTTGGCTTAATAAAAGAATATTGTAAGTTTTACAGTGGTTGCAATTGAAATATGGGTTTTTAAAACAAAAATAATCTTATTTGGAACTTATATGAATAAGTATTATAGAAACAATAAAATGCAATATAATTTTAACAGAAAAAAACAAACCAGAGGAAAAAAAAAGAGGTGCTACTTTCGACTTGGCAGCCAATAGATGACCGACAATCTTCCCGTCGGTTGAAACGATTCTTAGGCTTTCTCAGAAGCGTCACAGAAACCGTGTATTTCAATTGATACGCAAACGGAGGCGGGTGTTGCCTATCTAGGAATGGTGATAAATGCTAGTGCATGCTTCTGTTGGAGCTCGTCTAATGATTCGTCCCAGGATTCAGACGTTCGCAACAGACATTGGACAAAGATTTTAGCAAGGACTATTACAGGGCCAATCAACCCGAGCGGGTCGAACAAGTTTACTGTGTCTGACAGCACGGTTCGTCTTGTGATAATGTTCGTTTGGGACCATTTGGGAACGGAATAGTGGAGTAGATCCATCGATGGTTCCCACATGAGTTCAAGGGTTTTGATGGTTGTTGGGGAATCTAGCGCAAGCACGAAACGTTCTTCACGCAGTTCTGGTGGTATGACTGAGAGAATAGACGGCGAGTTGGGTGCCTATTTGCGTAAATTGAATCCAGCAGACTGCAACAGGTTTTGCAATTTTCTGCACTATTCCTGTCCTTCTTCGTCGGACATCCCCCGCTTGAGTAAACTGATCAGCGCCTTGATTTGACAGCTCTAAAAGACATCTTGTGGCCAAGCAGTGTCGAAGCAGTACGGCAGCGTTACGGTGTCGAGGCAGTAACGTACGTAACGTAGGAGGTTAATTAGAAAGTTTTGAGCGGTTCCGAAGAGGAGAAACGCCAGCGAATACGATGCAGTGAAAAATCAACAGAGTTAAGACGAAGCTGTCCATAAAATTTCTCAGCATCGGCAATAATCGCAAACTGGTGCATCCTAAAGCAAAGCGATATATCCTGTACGTCGTCCTGCAACACTGGACCCACTATCAACGCTTGATTAAGGGATACTCTGCTATCCGTCCGACAAGAGGCATCGAACATTACCCGTAGTTGGTAGACGTGCTGTCAGCTCTCCCCACATCATGATGAGGTTGGTAGTAAGATGGGAATGTGTTGTCAGTGTCGTCGATTTCCCGCATATGGTTGAGGTGCAAATACTCCCCAATAAATGCAGCATAAACCTCCTTGAGCTTAGGGTTCACATCAAGTCTGCGTTAAAGGACAAGAAATCTACGAGTGGCTATTTCCTTAGAACTTCCGAGTTGGGACAATACGTCGGGTCGTTTCGGAAGGGTGATCACAAATCTTCCCGATTGGTCACGAAAAGTGTTAGCTATAAAGTGTTCTTCACAGAAGGGTTCCTCAGGAGAACGAGTGCTAGATGACCAGTAAGATTATATTTCCCAAAAGCGGGAGATTGGGTCATCGAGTGATTCTGTGCTACATACGTGAGCTGCCTTAGGTTGGTCACGAGGATGATGAAGTGCTACCCATCCGAAAACAGTGTTCTGTAGAACAGGCTTCTCAGGACCCGGCTTAATGAATCCTTCTAAGAGCAGTTCAAAGTACAGTTCTATACCCAGCAGCAGATCAATCGATCCCGGTTCATGGAACTTGTGATCGGCCAGTATAACTCCGAATGGAATGCTTCAGCAAGAAGAATCGACCGTGTTCACTGGAAGCTCACGGGTATATTTTTTTTTTTTCAGTCTTCGATTGTAAATTTGGTGCAACGAGACCCTATCCGAACATCAACAGCATGATACCGAGGGATGAGCTGGTATTGGTAACCGTGTTTTGTACTTCTGAGATCGAAACGAGTTCGATTTGACTGGATCGATTGAACGAGACTTCGACAGTGTCAGCGACTGGAGCACTTTAAGATGAGTACGTAGAAATTTGATGAGATCTTTGTATTTAGGAACATCTGTTGTTAATGATGGATTTCCCACTGCTTTAGGGTCGACGCATCTAGACAGCTACAAACCATGTGTGCCCGCAACGCACTCCAGCCGTCCGTCAGAATGCCCATGTTGTCAACCATGCACAGGTTTTGCTTCAAATCATCTATCCAGTGCATTAGAGATTCGTAGTACTTTCTTTTCATGGGCACAATTTGAAAACAGGGCGCCAATGTAGGATTTCACAATTAATCTTCTATTGTTAAAATCGCTGTTCCAATAAGGTCCAGGCGACAATATAATTTGCTGCAGTGTGCTCTACGGATTCTATTTTTTTCTTAGCATCTTTAGAAAGAGACGAAGAGAGATCCGTTTCCCTACCGGTGCATTTTTAAGACTTTCGTGCGTATCGCTGCTCTTCTACGTCACTTTAGCCACAACAGTAAGCCCGGCAACCACCCATAATCGCGCGTATGGATTCTTATGAACTCACTAAAGCCACCAACAGCCTAGTTCGGTTGGCACAACTCGAAATTTTCACTGAAGACATCGCAGCAATAGCCAGAAAAAGGCAGGTTGCACCCAATTCAGACTTACGAGTTATGACGATTCTCGTCGACGGAATTTTTAAAATCCGTGGCCGCCTCAGGCACGTGGCTATACCCGAAAATAGAAAACATCCTATTATCCTACTGGCACGACATCCACTTACCAAGTCAATTGTGACCTACTATCACGTGAAAAATTTACACGCCGAACCTCAGCTGCTTGTAGCATGCGTCCGGGAAAAGCTAATTATCGTATCTAGTAGTATATTATCGTGTTTACTTACCGTGATTCCAACCGGCTGAAAAAAAATACAAAAATTATCAATATTGTTTTGTTTTTTTTTTTTTATTCAAAAGCAGTTTACTTGAGTATATATATATATATATATACACTGGGCATATGTATGTATATATTTGTATATATATGAATGTAAATGTAAAATAAATACATTATCAAGAAAAAGACTGCTTACCAATAGGCTTTCCAGTAAACCCTTGAACAGGAACAAAATATTTGAGGAAAACTTCCAGGATCCCTGAAATGCAAAAAAAAATAATGGAGTTGGATACTAACAGTAGTGAAAAAGAGAACAAAAGATAACAATAATAAATTCAATAACATAAAAACATTCAAAACAATTTGTCTGAAGAGGGATTCCATCTGCTTTGGAAAATCACTTTCTTGATATATATTTTTTTTCTCTCAAAATTCTTTATTACAGCAACTATACTTTGAAATTTTGTTGTTAACTTTTCTTATGTTATATGTTTTAGTCCAAGGAACACGATTGTCCTACAAAATTAAATATTAAATTCAAATATATTCAAAAAAAAACATAAAAGTTTTTTAGTTGGAAAATTCCCCCGAAAATTCGAATCAAGTTAATTGTGAAAGCAGCAGCTTTCAATGATATCGGTGATATGGCCCACGTCCGTCAATGCAAAATGTACCCCCTGCTAACCATTCCGTATCTGTGAAGCTTCCCGAGATCAAAATTCCCGAATTCGGCGGAAAATCGGATGAATGGATCGAGTTCCGCGACTTGTTCAAAGCCTTAGAACACTCCAACAATCAAAAGCTTCACTATTTACGTAGCGCGTTGAAAGGTGAAGCATCTCGTTTGATTTCGTCATTTGCTATCACTTCGGAAAATTGGAATTCGTTCCTAGTGGAGCGCTTGAGTAGTCTGCTGGATGAGAAATCTTTGATGGATTGGGAGGCGCACTGTGATGACAATGTGGTTCCACAGTATAAAGATTTGATGAGCTTTATTTAAAAAAAAACGAATGCAAATGTGCAAACCAAACCTCAGTCTACATACAGCAATTCCAACAAAGCCATTTAGAGGTAAATCATCCTCTCACATTGTCTCTGAGAGCGTAGTTAAATGCCCCAATTGTAAACAGACTCACGCAATCTCTCAGTGTGAGGCCTTTTTGAAACTATCACCAAACAATCGGTTGGATTTCGTCAAAAAACATCAACTTTGCATAAACTGCTTGCGAGGAGGACATCTGGCTAAAGACTGCCGCAGTAGCCTATGCAGGACGTGTGCAAAGAAACAACATAGCTTACTGCACCTACCCCCAATTGCATCTGTCCCGAGCGTTGTGGAAGAAAGGCCTTCTACTTCAACAACATGCAGAGCTGTTTATTCATCAGACAGTAGCTTCCCTCTGGCAGGAACTTCGTTTTCGGGATCGGTAGCACCGTCGGTGGTGCCTTCGCGTAATTCACCACAGGCAAACGTGTCGTCGTCGGGATCGTCGGTAGTTGTATCGTCTCTGCAGTCGTTCGCCGTTAGTAGCTTCTCTCCCTCGTCGTCGGTTTACTCGAAAGATCGGTCCGAGTCTAATGAACCACTTCCCTCTTGCTCTTACGATACCGTGATGTCGCCCACTCTATCCAACAAGCCACGAGATGCGATGGTGTTTTTATCTACTGCGATGGTACGAGTACAGGATGCTGATGGTATTGGTCACTACGCCAGAGCCCTTCTCGATAGTGGATCACAATCCAATTTCGTATCAGAGTCTTTGTGTCAGAAGTTGGGATTGAAGCGCACTTTTATTAATCTACCCGTGAGCGGCATTGGTCAAGCAATGGTCAGTGTACGTTACTGTGTACAGCTTTCACTTGCATCTCGTTTCGGAAAATTCGTGCAAGATTGCTTGGTTCTCCCGAAACTCACAGTAAGCCTCCCAAGTTGTCAGTTGATATCTCGCGGTGGAGCATCCCACGTAATTTACCATTAGCAGATCCAAAGTTTAATATTAGTAATGGAGTCGATATGATTGTGGGGGCCGAATTATTCTTCTCGCTTATTGAATCGCATCAAATGGTTTTGGCTGACAATTACCCTATTTTGCAGAAAACTGTGCTCGGTTACGTGGTCTGTGGAAAATATTCAACAAGCGCTATCAGAACGGTGGCATGTCATGTTGCCACTGATCAAAATTTAAATACCCAACTAGAGAAGATGTGGGAGATCGAGAATTTCGATGTCGGAAAGACTCTCAACCAGATAGAACAGGATGTTGAAAAACACTTTCTTCAAACCGTGTCACGCGATACTACTGGGCGGTACATTGTACGTCTTCCTTTTTGGGAGTCCATGGTCCCGCTGTTAGGAGACTCTTACGACCAAGCAGTACGACGTTTTCTGTTTATGGAGAAACGGTTCGCTCGAGACAACGATCTGCGTGACGAATATGTAAAGTTTATGGACGACTATGAACGATTAGGGCATATGGAAGTTGGTTCTCGTGTCGCGGGCCCGCAGTATTTCCTCCCGCACCATGCCGTTCATCGGCCAGAAAGCAGCACGACAAAAACTCGGATTGTCTTTGACGCTAGCAGCAAAGGATCCAGTGCCCTTTCTCTCAACGATATTCTTCACACTGGCCCCACTGTACAACCACCACTGCTATCCAGCGTTTTTAATTTCCGGATGCCGCAGTACGTCTTCAATGCGGACGCGGAAAAAATGTTTCGCCAAATGTGGGTGCATCCTGAGGATCGGCGGTATCTAAAGATCGTATGGCGTCGGGAACAATCTATGCCACTGCAAGTCTATCAGCTGAAAACGGTGACTTATGGACTTGCTTGTTCGCCGTACCAAGCTGCGCGGGTGCTCATCAAGCTTGCCGAAGACGATGGTCACAACTACCCTCTCGCTGCGGATGTTGTAATACTGAAAGTCCTCTTGTCTAGACGTTATTGAAAGAACGTTGCGATAGAACACGACAGTATTAAAGAGTAGCAGGTGTTCGGTGAATTCCATTATTCGGAAAATGATTCGACTGCATTTACCTACGTAGCTCCTCTTTACTTTTGTTCCCCCTCCACCTATTCTGCTACTGCTGCTGCTTTTGCTCCACTCGGCAAAGGAGTGTCTCCGCCTGACCACCCCACACAGCGAAAATTGCTCAATGTGGTAACAACGGGACTTACCTTTATTTTCCGACGTTTTGGCCTCCTTGTATCCCTTCACATCCATGGGCGTCGGGGCTGCACTCCTCGACGGTGGCGTCGTTGTGGTCGCTGCGTAAGTTGGCGTATTTCCTCCGCCGGACGAGGAAATTCCTTTGGTGGTGTTGGCAGTTGGCGTTTCAGTCGGCTCCGGCACCACTACTGCAACCGTCGTGACCGAAGCTGTCGTGCTGGCAAAGCTCGGTACAAACTCCAGTGCATTCACGTTCTCCTGAGAAATTCTGTCTTCTTGCTTCGATATTCACAGACATTGTGTCAAAAAAGTAGAACCGCTGAAGACTCAGGCTACTATGTTTTTTTTTTCTTTTTCCTCGAAGGCACACCGTAGCCCGTTTTTAAATAGTTCTTAATTTCATTTCATTTTCTCGGGACGAGACGGGGAATGTGTGGGTGGCATCATTCAATAGAGATGGTTTGGACGCAAGCATTCATTCGAGTGCGAAAGTGTATCCGAGTGTACCGTGCAATGGGTGATTTCCAGGAGGAGTTTAACTGTTCACACCTCCCACTTTCGCTGCCATGTTGCTACATATATCATAAAAAGTACACTTTTCGTTGCAACGTTCGTCTGACTATTTTTTACCTCTTAGGTTGCAAATACTCATTTCAGCTAAAATAATGTTTTTCGGAATAATAAAACCAAAACATGGTATGATGGTATGTTTTACTTGTAACTTACAAGAAGAGGCTACAAAGTATGCGTTTGAAATATAAAACCTGTAAATTTTGCTTTCTATGAGTCACAATCAGCGATTTTCTGATCGCTGAGTGAGTGAGTGAGTGAGTTAGTGAGTTTGTGAAAAATCGCTGATTGTGACTCTCATGAAGTGAAATAAGCAGGTTTAATATGTCAAACACATTATTTGCAACCTCCTCTTGTATCCTACCAATTCAAAATATGATCATGACATCTAATTATTTCATAATTTAAAAAAACATTGTTTTATCTGAAATGAGTATTTGCAACCTTGCTTACCGTTAGGATATTTTCCCAAATAAAGAATAATTACCAGGTACCGAGGTAAAGCTTACCCGTTAGGTAGAGCACCAGGAAAAACTGTTTTTCTTGCATTTTTGATTATTTTCTCTAAATTTTTCGCAAAATAAAAAACATGCCGAAAAAAATATATTCGGAGTGGTAAACTTCCCCTTAATAAAAATAATATTTGCATCAGCCAACATAGCTCCAAAAGCTATTGGAGCGCCATAAATTGAGTTATTTAATTTTGAGAAATATATCGGTTACTATACGTCATCTGAAAGAACTTCGCTTTCTGAGCGCAAAGATTTTTTTTTCGATTTTATTTACTCCCATTTTGATTTTTAAATTAATATTTTAAGCAAACAACCACTTCAATGTTTGCGTTGTGTTGTGTTGGTTTTGTAACGGAGTAAAACAAAATAGCCACTTCACTGTTTGACACTAAACTAACACATTGATATTTCGCTCCCATACAAAGAACCACCGAAGGGCGCTAGTTTAATCACACTTATTTAAAATAATTTCAATGTTGATGAAATTTAAGATTTCGGTTCCATTTGACATGTACTACCCATAATCGCATATCAGTCCCATCTTTGCTTGATTTCCTATCCATATGGGACTGATATGCGATTATGGGCAGTGTAGTCCTCAATACCCCTAAAGAACCCAGTCGTAAAACGTACGGTTTGTATAGCGATGATTTAAGGTTACTTGGTGAACAATGAATAGATCATCAAGTGAAAACTACGCTTATGTACCAGGGAACGATGTCACCGAAGTATATACGTTGAAAAGCATTTAATTTCGTTTCAGTTTTCTTAGCAATACTAGGAAACTAGTGCCCACTGGGACAGAATAGTACTTGTCGAGAGCTTAAGTTTGTTATACTTTTCGAAACTAACTTATTGAAATAAAACTCATAAAAATAAATTTCAGTGTAGGGAAAACGTATCGCTATAAAAATGAAACCAATATAGTTCGCGTTGATCTATTTCCTTTCCGTTTGCTCACCTACACATACTCATTGATAAAATAGATAGGAGAACCATGCATTTGTAAAACGATTGAACTTCAGTATGAATACAGCCATCAAAGTCATCAAACGTATACCCAAGTCTAAATTCCAAATCCGAAGAGGTCGAACAGTCCGCCGCGTTTCGCTTTCGAGTCAGTTAAGTTCACTCTGTCAAGTTTAACTTTCGTGTTTTTCCTGAACTCCTGGTACGCCGTCATTTGTTGAGAAGTTCGCGAGTGCGTCACGAACATTTATGGTGCCGAAACCCGGGAGGAATTCCCATTCGTCGTCTGAAGGAGGATATCGTTCTGGATAAGGAGAAATCTTCTACCGTAGGTGATAGAGCACGCTGGATCTCGTCACTGTCGTTGGCCAATTGACTGCGCCAAATTTCTCGTCGCACGTGCCCTGCAGATCACCAGGAAAAAGGAAGACTCCAGAAGGTTCGCTGGCTCCGATATATTGTTCCAGAAGTTCGTGACGATCGTAAGTGAAGCATCAAGGCAGGTGGGTACCTTTTGTCTATGCTAATTGAAGATGAGTTTGCCCAAAAAATCTTCTCTGTGGAAAAATGTGTTGCATCTAAAAAGTCTTCACCGTAGAAGAGACCACATACTCGGTTCTGCTAAACTAATTCAACGGTTTGATGAAGAGTTTGAGGTTACTCAAATCAATCAAGTTGGTATAAGAATTGAGCGTTTAGATGGCCTGTGGGAGAAGTTTGAGGATACGGAGGATGAAAGCGAAGCGTTAGAGGATCAAGAGGAGGGCTTCTCGGAAACTCGTCAAGAGTTTCAAAATCTGTACTTCGAACTCAAAGCATCTCTTGTTAGCAAGCTTCCCTGCCCTACAACTTCACATCCCTCTTCCCCTGGACCACGCCCGTCAATGCAAAATGTACCCCCTGCTAACCATTCCGTATCTGTGAAGCTTCCCGAGATCAAAATTCCCGAATTCGGCCAGAAAGCAGCACGACAAAAACTCGGATTGTCTTTGACGCTAGCAGCAAAGGATCCAGTGCCCTTTCTCTCAACGATATTCTTCACACTGGCCCCACTGTACAACCACCACTGCTATCCAGCGTTTTTAATTTCCGGATGCCGCAGTACGTCTTCACTGCGGACGCGGAAAAAATGTTTCGCCAAATGTGGGTGCATCCTGCGGATCGGCGGTATCTAAAGATCGTATGGCGTCGGGAACAATCTATGCCACTGCAAGTCTATCAGCTGAAAACGGTGACTTATGGACTTGCTTGATCGCCGTACCAAGCTGCGCGGGTGCTCATCAAGCTTGCCGAAGACGATGGTCACAACTACCCTCTCGCTGCGGATGTTGTAATCAAGCCGTTTCTACGTTGACGACATTCTAGCTGGAAGTGACAGCCTAGAAGAAGCCACATAAATTTGTCGTCAATTACGGGAGCTACTCAGCCTGGGAGGATTTTCGTTGAGAAAAAAAGAGCAACAACAACCAGAGTGTCTTAAATCACATTCCTAGTAACCTGTGGGAAAGCGCCCCTAAGATGGAAATTTGTCGTTCGACGGTGACTGCTTTACTGCCGTTCTACGCATATCAGTCCCATGTTTCAAAGGTTGCTTCTGAGAAAATCGTGAATAATGTTTCGAATCATTTCTGCTCATTGGAAGAAATATACGTTAATCCGGTTTTTAAACGAACAATATTTAATGGGACTGTTATGCCTAGAAATTTGCAATGAAGTAGGATATTCTACGCATGTTAGTCCCACTAGGAACTGTTACTTTCAGTGTTGCTTTGATGGCCACGTTGCGTTTGACGTCTTTAATCTTGAGCTTGCATGAGCGTGCTTGCGTTCTCCGCGAAGTTTTGGAAGATCCTGGATAATTTGTATAGCTTTCCACCATTAAATTACACCAACAATAAATTTGTTGACATTGCTTCTTCTATAAAACCATTAAAAGTATGGGCATTTCAAGAAACTAATGATGAATGCACTATTTAGAACATAAACTTCTTAACATCTTGTTCTACTCCTTAGCAAGATGAACGTAGGCCAAAAGGAGATTGTGCTTAATCATTTTGAGTCCAACCATAGATTTATGGTGGCTGACATACTGTGGACAAAAGATCAATACGTTACACGATCGTTGACCGTGGGCTTCGATGATTTCAAGAAATACTTTGGATGAGTTGACATGCACATGCAAATTTCTTCCGTACGGAGGCGACCTTTATGCTGCGTAATATCATATTATAAAAGTGGCTTTTCATGAAACACGTAGACACTATAGGGGGAGTGTGGGGGTGGAGAGTGTCTACGTAAGTGTCTAATAAGGCATTGTTTGAAATTAGAAACTGGTGTTTTAATATGAAATCATGAACATAAAATAAAACTTCCACTTCATAAAATGGTTCATACCGTTACTTTTGATTATATAAATCCAGTTTCAAACATTTGTGTACACAAATCGATTCGTTAATGATAGTAGATTCACTCAAGAAAATCTTTGTGGGACAGTTATGCGTAGAATTTCAACATGGGACAATTAGGCTTGATATTGTTTTTATACAAACCCAGAACAAATTATATGTTTTTCTATTTTCATTCCAAGGTCTACCTAAACAAGTACTGTTTTATGAATTGTGGTATCTGAAACTGCTCAGCTTTTTGACCCACTAGGGCTCCTTGGGTCGATCGTGATTAGTGCTAGGATTTTTGTTCAGCGGCTTTGGGCAAAAAATACTCCGTGGG